GTGTCATGGATTGAATTGTGTCCCCCAAAAAATGTGTGTAGCAACTTGGCTGGGTCATGATTCCCAGTGTTGTATGATTGTGTTATCTGATGTGATTTCCTTATGTGTTGTAAACTCTATCACTATGATGAGATTGTATGTGATCTCCCTATGTGTTGTAAATTCTGTCACTGTGATGAGGTTATACAGATGAGGTTGACAAGATTAGATAGTGTCTTAATGCAGTCTCTTTTGAGATATAAAAGAGAGAAGCGAGCAGAGACACATAGGAACCTCATACCACCAAGAAAGCAGTGCTGGGAGCGGACCGCGTCCTTTGGACCTGAGGTTCCTGTGCTGAGATGCTCCCAGACCAAAGGAAGACTGATACATCACAAGGACCTTCGTTCAGAGCCGACAGAGAGAGAAAGCTTTTTCCTGGAGCTGATGCCCTGAATTTGGACTTGTAGCCTACTGGACTGTGAGAGAATAAACTTCCCTTTGTTAAAGCCATCCACTTGTGGTATTTCTGTTAGAGCAGCACTAGATGACTAAGACACTGGGTATGCCTTATACTATGCTCTCAATTATATACCTAAAGTAGTTCATTGAAAAAAAATAATTTAAAGCCTGATTTATGTATTTTAGGGATCAAAGAAGGTGGAGTTAGTAGATGCTGGGGTAGAGTCAGAGAAAGTCTCATGTGGGGTGTACAGATTGAAGGGAATGTTGCAGGATGGATACAATTTTGAAAAGACACATAGAAAAGCATTCCAGATAGGAAGAAGAGCTGGATTTAGTAATGAGGGTATATTTGAAGGGCAGAGTGGAGACTAGCTTACCCCAGAGTTGAGTTTGAGTCTGGGAGGAGTGGGAATGGTAAGGTTGATAGGTGAATGCCAGGAAATTGAGCACCGTAATCACTGAGCTCTTTCAGTTTGTCTTCATCTAGTCTCTGTGATCATCCTGATTTCTCTTGATTGTTGTTGCCTATCTTTTTTGAAGTGCAGTGAGCTGATTTATTATTATACAGAGTGTTCCAGGTACAAATACATTGTGGTTTATTTCAAGAATATGTTAACAAATTCAATTTGGGCTTTGATACCTTTGCTGATGAGGTCCATCATTTATCGTGGCTTTTCTAGCTGTGCCAGTACATTGAGCTGATAATTTTAAAAGATAGTCTAATGTGATTTTAAGTTCCTTTTCTTGGATGGTGATTGATGGTGATTAAGCCTGCATAATTAGGTTGGCTTTTTTTCCTGCATGGATTATTGGCAGGTGGTAATACTCATTTAAGGAAAGGATCTGTGGGTCCTCTCATTTTTCTACTCAGTCACCTAATCTAACCGGCCCATTGAGATCTCCCTGCAGAGTTTATCCCCGAATCTCTATATTTTACTACAAAGAGGACTTGTGGACGTGGGAAGTTGAAATGTGCTCATCTTAGAATATTTACAAACACTGAAATATAAATCAGTGGCCCTTTTGTTTCAGTTTGCATTTTAATGTTCGTTTTATCTAAGCCCTCTCTTTCTCTAAACCAAACTTTTCCCTTTGCCCTTTGACCCCTCTTATTTTTTCTTTCCTTTCTTCCTAGGAAACCCTTCAAACATGTGAAAGTAGTATTGTTTTATATTTCTGTAGTAGTATATGTAATGGTTTAGGGAGTAGGAATTCTTAGAGGTAAAAAGGAGCCATATCCATAACTAAAGATTTTACATAAAAGGATTCACTCTGAAATCTTAGTAGAAATCCATGTGAAAATGTTTGAATTGGCTACAGTTTTATTTAGAAGCAACTTTAGGATCACATCTGTTATGTCAAACAGGGTACTTGGTAAACTTGTTTTAAGTATTGGGTAAGGATTAAATTACAAAAATGTGAGGAAGGAAGAAAACCAGCATTTCTTCAGCACTTAATATGTGTCAGGTAACATTCTAATGTTTGCATACCTACCTCACTACCTGTTGACGTTAAATGAGTATTACCTCCTGCCAGGAATTGTGCTAAAGGGCGTTTTACACATTACTCCGTTTAAACCTCCCAGCCCTCTGAAGATTAATTTATTTTTTAAAAAGGTGATGTATGTACCTGGAACTAAATCAGAAAGGTACAAAAAGGTTTACAATGAAAACTAAGTTTCTCTGCACCCTGTCCTCCAGTCATCTGGTTCCTCTTCCTGGAGGCAAACCACTGCCACTTGTGTCTTGTGTACTCCTTCAGAGATACTCTATGAATGTATTATATGTAAATATGTGTATGTATTCTAAAGATTTTTACAAAAATGTTGGCATTTTATGCATACAATTCTGTGCCTTTTTTCAATTACTGTCTTAGAGTTCATTTCATGTTAGTGGGTATAGAACTGCCTCATTCTCTTTAAGAAATGTTCTGTAATTTGCTTTATCTATCTCCTATTGATAATAATCCTTTTTCTTTTAATAGCTAAGCTTAGCCCATTTATATTTATTGGAATGACTGATAAGTTTGGTATTAGTTCTATTTTTAATATTTTCTTTGAAAAAAAATCTTTCCGTATATAGACTGTGTTTGCTTTTTATGTGGGAGAGGCATGCATGTGTATATTCTGATAATTTGGGAGGTTTATCTTTTTATTCTGGTGACTGAATTTATAAGTATAACTTTATATCACATTTCATCCGAAAATATTTATTGACTTCCTACCATGAGCAAATGGATTACACCTCAACATAAAGAAAAGAAAAATCCTAACAACTGGAACAATAAGCAACATCATGATAAATGGAGAAAAAACTGAAGTTGTTAAGGATTTCATTTTACTTGGATCCACAATCAACACGCATGGAAGCCCAGTCAAGAAATCAAAAGATGCATTGCACCGGGCAAATCTGCTGCAAAAGACCTCTTTAAAGTGTTGAAAAGCAAGGATGTCACCTTGAAGACTAAGGTGCACCTGACCCAAGCCATGGTTTTTCATTTGCATCATATGCATGAGAAAGCTGGGCAGTGAATAAGGAAGACCGAAGAAGAATTGACGCCTTTGAATTATGGTGTTGGCGAAAAATACTGAATATACCATGGACTGCAAAAGAACGAACAAATCTGTCTTGGAAGAAGTACAACCAGAATGCTCCTTAGAAGCCAGGATGGTGAGACTATGTCTTACATACTTTGGACATGTTATCAGGAGTCCCTGGAGAAGGACATCATGCTTGGTAAAATAGAGGGTCAGTGAAAAAGAGGAAGACACTCAAAGAGATGGGTTGACACAGTGGCTGCAACAATGGGCTCAAGCATAACGATTGTGAGCATGGTGCAGGACCGGGCAGTGTTTTCATTTTGTAGTACATAGGGTCTCTATGAGTCGGAGCCGACCCCACAATACCTAACAACAACAACAACACCATGAGCAATAACAAAAATTAGTAGTTATGTTTTCTGTCCCCTCCCCTTCCCACCTGCTTTTAGCTGATTATATTATTTTTTTTAGTTTTACTTTATACCTTTAAACATACTTATGCCTCTGTTACTTGATCTATCAGCTTTAAATATCTTTCGAATTCTGTCAGTAAAAGGTAAGGAAATCAACGTACTTATTTATCTACTTTTTCCTCCTTCTCATTTCAACGTTTGCCGGTAATGGTATTTTTGCATTATCTTCCGCAACCAGAAAGCTTCAAAGACTTAGTCCTAAGATTAAATCAATTAAATGCTCTCCACTACACCTTTGCCATGATTTCTCCTTTGATCTCATGATTAGTTAAAGTTTGTCCTGTAGTAGTTTCTTCAGAAAGGAGTCAAGGGAACCATGTTCCCTGAGTTCTTACATGTTGGAAAATGTTTTTCTATTGGCTTTATACTTGAACAGTTTAACTTGATATCAGTTATTTTTGGGTTGCCCTTTTTTTTTTAATTGTGAAATATTACACACAGAAAAGTGCATAAAACAAATGTGTAGTATGATCATTGATGAATAAATTGTAAAGTGAACACCTGTGTAACCACAACTAAAGTCAAGAATTAGAACTTTTAGCAGCACCGTAGAAGTCTCTTGTGTTTGTTCTTTATCACACCTTCCTGCTTCTCCCCGGAGATAACCACATCCTTTTATGTCGATCACTTCCTTTATAACGTTACTACTATGTATGCATCCCTAAACAACACAAATCATTTTTGCCAGTTTTGAAGTGTATATAAATAGAATCATACAGTATTTACTCTTCTGTGCTTTGCTTGTTTTGCTCAACATGAGTTTGTAAGATTCATCCATGTTGTTACTTGCAGTCCTAGCTCATTTATTTACATTGTTGTATACTGTTCTTTTATATGATCATAGTACAGTTCATTTCTCTATTCACTATTGATAGATTCTTTCTAGTTTGGGGCTAACAGGAACCATGATACTATGAATACTTTGACACATGTCTCCTGATACACAATACACATGTGTATATATTTCTTTAAGATACACACTTGAGAGTGAAAATACTGGCTCTTAGGTACGCATATTTCATTTTTCCTGGACAAGGCGAAACCTGTTTTTGAAAGTGGTTGTATTAATTCATACCCCAACCAGCAGTGTGTGAGAGTACCTTGGGTCACTCTTTCCTTGCTGTATAGTGTTGCTTCCTTGTCTTTTAGCCCAGTGATCCTTTGAGGTAGATGATATTCCCATTTTACGGATGAGAAAACAGGTTCGAAGTGGTCAAGTAACTTGCCGCAGGGTTACAGTGGTAATGGATGCCAGAACCGGCTTTTGAACTCTGCTCTAACTCTAAAGCCTGTTATCTTTCCAGGCTACCTTCTTTACAGATAGGACTTCCTGGCAATCAGATAAGTAAGGCACTGAAACTTCACCAGGGAAGGTAAACATTCTCAAAGACTTGTTTGTAAAGAGTAGGTTGTTATCTTTCGGGGGTGACTTAGAGGATAGTCCTTTTTGGAAGTAACCTATTTCTCAAATTCCTTTCCAATTTTGTAAGTTGCCAATATTTAGTTTCCTAACAGCTTGCTTCTTCCTTTTTTCTTGATTTTAGCATCCAGCCTGTGTATGGAGCACAGCACCCTCCTCTGGACCCTCGACTCACCAAAAAGTAAGTCAAGACATTTTTTTTCTCATGCATGTACTTCTTACATCCTCCCCAGTACCCTCACCTGATTTATTGAAATGACCTTTCCACTTTGACCTTTGGCCTTTCCACTTGGACCTTTCCTGGCTTCTCCTTTGCCCTAATTAAACAATTTTTTTTAAACCTCCAAATGATCTATTTCTAAATGGGAAATTAACTTATATCAGAGATTTTGTGTTTTCCTGCATTGGAAGCTGGTATATGTAAGGTTTGGTGCTGGATTCTGTGTTCTGGTCAAATGGTCTTTATTGATTAAATATTACCCTAAAACTGGATGATCGATGACCCTCTTTAAGCAGGGAATCTAGTTTCTGGGGCTTATTGCTTCTGAATATAGCTAGGTCTGCTACTTTTTTCTCGTTTAGGAGAACTAGGGCAAATAGAATATACTGTGGGCTGGCATTCTTTATGTCCTCTTTCTCTTTGACACACTCAAGGAAACCTAGGCATACAGTAGAATAAAAGATCCCTGGAGGCTATTTCTCTAGTAACTCTCGTAGATTATTTTCAAACACAGCAGAGACCCTAGTTAGATCTAAGATGTGTGGGCATGTATCCATACCCCCAATTATCACTTTAGCACACCGTACTCTCAAGGGCCATCACTCAGCCACAAAGAATTTAAATGAGTCAGGAAGTGGCTCTCCTCAGAGTGTGTAAGAACTGTGGCCTCTATCTTTGTACGTGCTTCATCTTAGAGACTTGTTTTTAGGAAAGCTGCAGTCTGTACTGAAAATGGAATGATTTGGGAGGTACAGGAGACCTAGGTTCTCATCTTCCTGGGGACTGTGTAATCTTCCTTCATAGTTAGTGGGGAAATAAAGATAATGTGTATTAAAGTATTCTGAGTATCTAGAAAAAATGCTGCATTAAATATGCATTACCAATATCTTAGTATTTTTTAAAATAACTTAATGTGTAGTGAATTTACTATAATTCTACCAAGTCGTTCTTGTAATTTAGCCAATATGTAGAAAGTACTATCTTCTGAATCACTGTGGAAGCATGACTGCTGTTGTCTTATGTTAGATACACAGTTTGTATTTCAGAAATCACTAGAGTGTAAGCGCCTTGAGAGCAGGGAATTTGTTTTGTTCACCACTCTACCCTTAGCAACTAGAACAGTGTCTGGCTCATAGTAGCACTGAGTAAACATTTATGGAGTGAAGGAATGAAACCATCTCGTTTTCTTAAACAATGGGCTTTTCTTTAGTGTTTCTTAGTTTATACCTTGTATTAGCTCTTCTTCTTAAGGGGCAGCATGCTTTCTGTAATATTTCCATTCAATAGAATGAATTCTACCATTTCCTTGGTTTTATTATCTGGTCATTGGCCACTGTGGCAGGCACTGTTGATTACCCACCCAACAGTTTTTGGTGCTCCTGCTTCTTCCTTGCTCAGGAATCATGATTTTATTTAGATATTAAGTAGATGGCAGTGCACTTAGGGGAGGTATCAGGGTTGGCTTAAGCATTTTACAATAACTCCATGGTAAACATCGGGGTGAGCTTGTGACCTGGTTTTGGCCAATGAGATGTAAAGAAAAAAAAATGGGGGGTTCTTGTAAAACTTTTCTTTTTTGAGCAGAGAGAGATCATTTTGTGAAGAAAGCCTCTTTTTACTCCACTCACCTGTTTTCTGCTTTTGAAAGTGGTAGTGTGAAAATGAGATGCTAAAGCTGTAGTGGTTAACTGGTAACCCTGAGAAAAAGGCCAAGAGAATTGCAGAGATACTAGCCCAGTGCCCTGGCATCATGGTCTTTACTATTTAAGCATCATAGTTGAGTATTCTGTTACTTGTAGTCAAAAGCATTCCTGTCATAGCCAGGATTTGTTGCTTGGTAATAGATCCATTCCAGCACGTTTTAAAATCAATAGCCTTTGATAAACACGTGGCTAAAAATTAAATCTGTCCAGTCACTCATACTTAAAGCAGTGGGGTGTACTGTCCCGTGTTATATTTGGGTCAGGGTCACCAAACCTTGTCTACATCTGTCAACAGCTGACTCTTCCCTTAGTCTGTCTTTAGGACAGGTCTTGAGGAATATTACTGTATGCTGAACTGCCAAGAAAAACTTTATATACTCTTCTTTTCTCACCTGTTAATGATGTAAAAGCATGTATGTTTTTCACTGGTCATTAAGCAGAGTTGTGATCATACTTTCAGTAGAAGTAATAACTTGTCAATCTGGGAGGAATATAATTCTCACTGAATTCTTTGCTTCCCTTTTTCATGCACATGGTGGTTTGGCATTAATACTCTACAACATGGGACAACATCTAGGCCTGCACTGGACCATTTTACAATTCCAGATTGTTGCTATAAAACATTTATCGCCCTTATTTTAGTACCTTTGTTGGGACATTTTTATTACTTTCTCTACTACATGATTATTGTTCCACTTCAGACCGTCATTAATCACGATGTGGTTAATCCTCATCATAGTGGAAGCCTTTACATTGGGTCTTGAATCATCTAAACTGCAGGAGCACAGTAAATCATCGCCCGTCTGTGTATGTTGACTTTAATTTGCCAAATTATTGCCATTAGTGATATTATTACCTGCAATGATTTTTATAGCTCAGATAAAACAAATCTTCCTGCGGGGTGGCCCCACTGGCCCCCTGATGTTATAACAGGATTCTAAATTTATCGTTTTCTCAATTGACACTGAAGTACGCTAGGTCTTAGTTCTGAGTTATAAAACCAGTTCATATGAAACCGCACTAGTTACTGAGATGACTAGGTTTATTTGAATGTTATTAAATTTTACCACTTGCTTCACACTGCTTATCAGTATCAAACATGTTTTTCTAAATAAAATTGTGTCATATTTCTATTAAGGAGAACAGCCCCATATCAGTAAAACAGTGTAGTATTATCAAATCACTAGGAGCCCTGGTGGTGCAATGGTTAAGCGCTTGGCTGCTAACTGAAAGGTTGATGGTTCAAACCCACCAGTGGCTCTGTGGGAGAAAAGACCTGGAGATCTGCTCCCATAAAGATTAGCGCCTAGGAAACCCTCTGGGACAGTTCTACTCTGTCAAATGGGTTGCTATGACACACCTAACAACATTATCAAATTGTAGACTGATTAATCTTTTGTGTTCCTAGCCAGTATAACCTGTGGTTACTCTTTTTCAAAATATCCATAGATGTTTGTGTTACCATTTAACAAGTTACTGTTCCCCAGACAACCAAGTCACTCTTAATGTACCATTTATTGTGTTTTTGAGAGGTTTTAGTGTCACCTGAGCTTCTTGAATTTCGTTTTCTTTGACACTTCTTGCTCCGTGACCTTGGGCAAAGTACTTAACCTCTCTGAGCCTTAGTTTCCTCATCCATAAAATAGAGAAAAGACTAGCCTCACAGAGTTGTTGTGAAAATGCTTTCTAGAATAATTTGGCGTATACCTGTAAAGGGGGTATGGTGAAGATCCCTATCAGAGGCCAGTTTGACTGTAACTTTGATATAATTCTGTTTCCATCATCTTGGTTAAACTTCCAGCCATACTGTGGCATTCTTGTACCTTGGGTTAGGTATAAATTAGTTGGGACCATGTTAAAATGAGGCAGCCTATAGAATGAAGGCACTCACAGCTAGAATACCTGAATTAACTTTTTGCTGAGACTTCTTTTTTCCAGTTGCCGTTGAATCATTTCCCGCTTATGGTGACCCCATGTGCGTCAGAGTAGAATTGTGCTCCATAGGGTTTTCAGTGGCTGATTTTTCAGAATTAGACTGCCAGGCCTTTCTTCCAAGACACTTCTGGGTAGATTTGAACCACCAGCTTTTTGGTTTACAGCCAAGCATTAACCATTTGCACCACTAGGGTGAAAAGGGAGGAGAGATGTTACTTCTCCAAGGATCACATCTCTAGTTGTGGCTTCTACTCAGAATGGGCTCACAGCTCATTCTGAGTAGACAGGAAGTTTTTCCTACAAGGTGAAAGAGTTGGAGCTATCAGCCATGTACGCTTAGGGAGAGTTATAGCCGTGATGTTGTATGACTCAGTTTGCTTGGCAATTCCCCTTTCCAAGCTGCAGATCCTTCTAGGCCTCGACCCCTCTTCTTTTTAGCCAGCTTTTCTAGGTACAGCAGTTAGTGCATGCAGACTCTGGGATCAGGTAGACCTGGATTTGAGCCCAGACTCCACTGCCTGCTCTGTGTCACCCGACCTCAGTAAGCCTCAGTTTCCTTGTTATAGATGAGTATAATAATAGCACCTACCTCTAGGCTTATTAATGAGCAGTAAATGAGAAAATGGATATATATATAAAAGCTTGTACAGGGCCTGGCACCTAGTAAGTAGCCAGTAAATGTTAACTGTTATTTATGTATGCACATAAGAACTTATGTATCTCCTCTGGAGAGAACAAAATTAATAAACATGGAAAAGCTTCAAAGCCGTAAATCTTCGTGTCATTGTCCCTGGGCTATAGACTGTTTCACTTTCTTTCAGTGGTGACCCAAAGTGCCTCTTCACTCTCCACTCTCTTCTGTCATTCTTGTGGGTGTTTCTCACCAACCTTGTTCTGTCCTCAGACTCCCACCATTTTCTGGGTGATACCAACCCCTTGCTCTTTCCTTTAAAAAGACAGATCCAACTTTTTAAATTGGTTGGTTGAGTGTTAGGGTTTGTGGAGTAAATATCTCTAAAATAATTCCTGGCAGCCTCCAAATGGTCTGCCTTCAATCACGTGTCTTTCTGTCATAGGAAACAATGGCCTTTCCTCCCTTCTTTCCTCTTCATTATGTTGGAATGTGTATCCTTCCAATTTCTATTTGGTAAAAGTCTTCATTTGAGTAAATTCTAATTCTTAATCTACTTCATTATACTGAATCTTCATCGCCTTCAAAAATAGACTAAAATATTTCAAAGCATAAAAAGGTATAAAGAAGTGTAGCAAACACCCATGTCCCTACCACTCAGCTGATTTACCTCCGTCATCTGTATAGGAGGCTCAGCATCGGTTGGAACCTGACACTCAGCCTGGCCCTTTTCTTGCTATAGTGATTCTGTCCAGTCCAGAGTGTGCAAATGCTTTACCTGATGTTAGACTTTCAGCATCAGTCAACTGTTTGACCTGAGTTAAAATTTAGCTTCTTGATTTGATGGTTTATTTAAAGAATTCCCAAGACATCAAGAGTGTATTTAGGAAACATCAACTAGAAAAAACCAGTAGTTAACCTTGGGATCAAAAGTAGATTCATCATTTACAATCCTGGTGTACTCATGGCCTCCAGGGGGAAAACAGTAATAATAAATGCTTACTCCTACGCAGTTTTTTTTATAGATGACAGGTCTTTCTTATACATCTGCCTATTTGTTCTTGACAGCAACCCCTCTGAGATGTGCACTGCAGGTAGTGGGTCCCAGATCCCCTTTTATACAGGAGAAATGGTCACAATGGATGAGTCCAGGACACACAGCATTGGCGTGTCTGCAGAAGAGTAACTTGCCTTCTGTCCAGTGGATGGATTTTTGACATATAAAGATATTTGCACTGTGTTGCCTGTTTTGTTTTCTTTGGTTTGGGCTCTGGTTCATTTCTGATTGTTCATTTAGTAGGTTTATGAGTACTCTTACTTTGGAGATCAATGAAAGCCAGTATTAAAAACAACCTTTTTAATATAAGTAATATGATCATTCTAGAAAACTTGAACAATTTAGAAAAGTATAAAAATGAAGTTAAATTCACCTACAATTCCACAGGTGAGAGATAAGTACTGTTAACATTTTGATGGGCCTGGCAGTCTACTTCCAAAAGATCATAGCCTCAAAAACCTTTTGGAGGAGTTCTGTTCTGCACACACGGGTTACCATTAGTTGGAGTCGACTCCATGGCAACTAATGACAACATTTTGATGTATTTTCCTCCTGGTCTTTTCTGTGCATATACTTTTGTTTTTTAATAACAGAGGTCATAGGAAATGTATAATTTGGGGTCCTATTTTCACTTTATTGAGATCATTTCTCTTGTTAATAAATAACTTTTAAAGACATGATTGTTAGTAACATTCCGTTTGGTGTTGGAACTATAACTTATTTAATGAATTCTAATTTCTAGATGTTTATGTTGTTTACGATTTTTAACCAAAGTAAGTAACACCAGGTATAAACTGTCTTCGATAATCTTTGCATCTCTGATTATTTTCTTATGGTCAGAGATTATGAACCATTTTAAGGCTAATTATGTGTACATTGCCAGTTTGTTTTCCAGAAGGGTTGTACAACATACATCCCCACCTGTAGTATAAGGGAGCTGGTCTCACTATACCCTGGCCAGCACTGAAGAGTATAACTTTTTAAATCTTTGCTAATTTAATGAGTGATAAATTTTATCTTGTTTCCATCACATGTGAACTGTTACATCCTGTAGTCTCTTTTGTATTTTGTGTGATTTATTTTCCCTTACTGTATGTGAGACTGGTGTTTGAAAATAATACCATAGTAATACCCCTTTCTTATGTTAATGATAGGGATGTAATGATGAGCTGTCTGAGTTACTAGACTGTATTTAGTGATGTTAATAATAACTATCTTTCAGAATTAGTATTGGACTTATCTAGGGAGATGGGACAAATTAGCAGACCAAGCACCTCTACCCAAAGGGTAGAAACATCTCTTGAAGATGGGGGAACATCAGCTTTTTCTCCTGACAGACCCTTATTTTCACTTTAGAGTTGCCTTGCCTTGTGGGAGTTTGGGGGGCAGAAGGTGGACAATGAGACATTTTAGTGATATTTTTACCCCATTGCGTTCTAGTCCCCATGTACTGTAAACTTACATAAGGCCATACCTTCTGCTTCCCTGTTTGGATGAGACGGATGCCAGCTAAGACTGAGTTAGAAATGTCTCAGTCAGATAGTCTCCTGGAACCAGAATAAGGGTCCCCAGGGGAGGTGGGGTTTGGTATATAGAGAAAAAGTTCAGGAAATTAGGAATGGTCTACATGATTCTTAAGACTCTTTCCTCAATGGTTTAATCTAGTGTTTCCCAAGCTTCAGTCATGTGCCATCTTCATAATTTTTTTTTGTTATATTCTGTGCTAATATTTACTGAATACATTTTTTAAAAAATAAGATCATTTTATTTATTCAGATAGATTTATTTAAAAAATAAAGTATCACTTCTATAAATGGAAGACCAATATTATTTGCCATAAATCAAAAATAACCTTAAAAATAAACACAGTGAGTGAGAATAGCAGCACAATGGGAAGAGCGTAGTCGATGTCAGTGAACTGTGCATGTAGAAATTTTTGAAATGGTGTATCTTTGGCTATGTGTATTTTCACCAAAAAAGAAAAGATAAGAAGTTAGAGGGTTGACATGTTGTGGGGTTGTTAACCAATGTCATAAAACAATATGTGTACTACTGTTTCATGAGAAACTATTTGTTCTGGAAGCCTTCACCTGAAGTACAATAAAAAATAAAAAATAAATAAAATAAACACATTGAAAAACAACACAGTCTTATTAAATTCTAAGCCAGATTCTGTTGCTTGCAAATATGTTGATCCTGAGGCTGCCCTCCCTTTGTTAAAAAATAGTCTTGTAGACAGAGTAGCACCATATTAAGACTTTCTCCTCAAGGCTAGCAGGACTTTAACAGAATTAAAAAAAAGAACAACTTTTTCATTTGGGACTCAGTATTTAATGCTATATATGTGGACTAAAAATTATCTCCTGTTTTAGGGGTAGTCTAGATTATGTTGCCATAACAAATTAACCCTGAAATCTCAGTGGGGTAACACAATAAAGGTTTATTTCTTGCTCATGTTACATGTACAAAGTGGGATAAGGCAGGGGGTGGAAGACAGGCTCCACTCCATATAGTCATTCAGTGACCCAGGCCAAGGACTTCACTATCTGAAAGCTCTCCAGTCACCACAGCAGAAGAGAGCTTATAGAGAACTCTTTTATACTTTAGCCTGGAAGTTATTGCCTCATTGCTCTTCTCAGCCCATTGGCCAGAACTAGTCATATGGCCTTGCCTAGCAGAGGGGCTGGGATATATAGATTAGCACATGAATTATTTGGTGAGCATTGCTGTCTCTGCTACATAGGACTGGTCTAGATGCATCTAGATGAGGAATGGATAGGGGTGTTTTTTATTTGAAGAAGGTTGATTATGTTTGGGGTAGCTTATAATATTATTCATATTATACTAAGCAAATGAAGATGGTCAGATGTGTCAGGTTGTCCATCCCTTGGTAATGGTGTCTCCTTTCTCAAAGCTTCATTAAAGAACGATCAAAAGTCAGTGGAGTTCCTCTGAAGAATAAGAAGACCTCCAGTTTTCATGAGTTTGCCCGGAATACCAGTGATGCTTGGGACATTGGCGATGATGAGGAAGAGGACTTTTCCTCACCTTCTTTCCAAACTTTGAACTCAAAGGTTGCTTTGGCAACTGCAGCCCAGGTCCTGGAAAACCACAGCAAGCTGAGGGTGAAACCAGAACGGTCCCAGTCAACAACATCCGACGTTCCTGCCAGCTACAAGGTCATAAAGTCCAGCAGTGATGCCCAGCTGTCCAGAAACTCCAGTAAGTCCATCCTGTCCCCCTCCTTAGCCACAGCCTTCCCAGCAGAGGGCATTTTAAATAAAAAAGATTTTTCTTTAGAGACTCACCCAGATCTTCCATTTGATGATAAATAAGCAAGCTCAAGCCAGAAGTACAACATAAGTGAGCCTAACTGGTCATAAGCTGTACTGGTCCCCTCCAACCTTGATGGCTGCTTAGCCCTGTAACCTGGGACTTTACTTCCTGACACCCAGGTGTTGCCTACCATTCTTGTCCTTTTCTATTCCCAGTGGTGGTATCCAAAACTTCTGTGGTTTGATTGCTTCATGTTGCTTTAATTAAGCTTGGTCAGGTTTAAGAATATGGACTAAGGATTTAAAGTTGCTAGCAGCTGAATTTCACAAACGTTTGGCACTGCTAATGGGCCTCCTTAGCCCTGGGGAACAGCCATTGGCAAAAAGTTGTCTATTTCCTGTTCCTGAGGGACTGGGTCACAGCTTCCTGACTGCCAAGCATGCCCATCAGGTTAGGTGGGGTGGGAGGAGATGTTTTCTTTTTAGGAAACTGACCTCGATAACCACTTGGGGTGATGGTGGTTTTATAAGATGTTTGGAGACCCTCGGTATACTCTTAGCATCCATTGTTGTGTTTTAATGTTGCCCTAAGGGGATTTGTGGAAGTTGGAATATTCTGAGCTGGAGAGGGAAGTACCATCATTCTAGTGAAAGTTAAAAAAGCTGGTAAAGGGTGAAACCGAAAAACCAGTTGCCGTCGAGATTCCAACTCAGAGCGACCCTGTAGGACAGAGTAGAACTGCCCTATGGGGTTTCCATGGAGCAGCTGGTGGATTCTAACTGCTGACCTTTTGGTTAGCAGCTGAGTTCTTAACCACTGTGCCACAAAGGCCCCAGAGGGTGAAAAGGAAGTAGAAAATGTCAGAGGCCTGGAGTGTGTCCTGGCTCATATGCTAAGAGGATTTCTTCTTTTATAGTTTCAGACTAAGCATGTAGTCATGAAATTAGGCTCTAAGGCCTTTAAAATCATTCATTGGTCACTTTGCCGATTCAGGCCCCAGCTTGAACCTTCAGTGCCATGCCCAGACGGTCATTCCATGTTGATTGACCTGGTGGCCACAGCTGCAGGTTGTGGAAAGTGTCTATGCACCATGATTGAGGGTCTCCAGAGGTTTCCAGGGTGAGGGAGACCCCTCTCTCCACGATTCCTAATGAGCTGCACTTGTGCAGCCAGGACCTTCCAGAGTATTCCCCTTATGGAGGTTCCATCCCATGAGCATATACCTGTTAATAATGAATATCAGAGACGCACATCTGTCTCAGCTTTGCAATGCGTGGTCTGCATTTTTTAGGCCCCTTGTTAAACTAGGCCTCCCAGCCTGGTACTTTGAGGCAGTTGTTTCTGTAAACATCGTTCTGCTAGTTGGTTACTATTCACTGTTTAATTGTTGTTGTGATGACTACTTTTTAAGACCCAGATATGTAAAATATGAAAGTCGTGAATTAAAAACTGAGTTTTGTTTGGGGGTGTCTTAGTTATCTAGTACTGCTATAACAAATACCACAAGGGGGTGGCTTTAACAAACAGAAATTTACTTCCTCACGGTTTAGACAACTAGAAAGGGGTGCTGGTGGTGCAGTGGTTAAAACCCTTAGCTGCTAAACAAAAGGTTGGCAGTTTGAACCCACCACCTGCTCCATGGGAGAAAGATGTGGCAGTCTGCTCCCGTAAAGATTTCAGCCTTAGAAACCCTACCAGGCAGTTCTACTCTGTCCTACAGGGTCACTATGCGTTGGAATCAACTCGACAGCAATGGGTTTGGGGTTCTGGAGGCAGCTAGAAGTCCAAATTCAGAGTACCATCTCTAAGGGAAGACTTTCTCTCTCTGTCAGCTCTAGGGGAAGGTCCTCCTCTTTTCAGCTTTCTCTGCATAGCATCTGCTTTCCCCATCTCTGCTTGCTTGCTTGCTTCATCTGCTCTTTTATATCTCAAAAGAGATTGATTTAAGACACAGCCTATACTAACATTGCCCCGTTAACATAACAAACCTATTCCCAAATGGGATTATAACCACAGGTATAGGGGTTAGGATTTACAACACATTTTTTTTTTTAATTGTTGTAGTTTAAATGAAGTTTACATTTCAAGTTAGTGTCCCACACAAAAATTCGTACATACATTGTTATGTGACCCTGATTGCTCTCCCCATACTGTGACAGCACACTCCTCCTTTCCACCCCTGATTCCCCCTGTCCATTCAACCAGCTCCTAACCCTCTCTGCCTTCCCATCTTACCTCCAGACAGGAGCTGCCTGTTTAGTCTCTTGTATCTACTTGAGCTAAGAGACGCACTCCTCACGAGTATCACTTTATGTCCCACAGTCCAGTCCAATCACTATCTGAAGAGTTGACCTCGGAAATTGTTTTAGTTCTGGGCTGATAGAGAATCCAGGGGCCATGCTTTCTGGGGACCTCCAGTCTCAGTCAGACCATTAAGTCTGGTCTTCTTACTAGAATTTGAGTTCTGCACTCCACCTTTCTCCTGCTCCATCCGGGACTCTGTTGTGTTCCCTGTCAGGGTGGTCATTGGTGGTAGCCAGGCACCATCTAGTTGTTCTGGTCTCAGGCTGATGAAGTCTCTGGTTTATGTGGCCCTTTCTGTCTCTTGGGCTAATACTCTGCTTGTGTCTTTGGTGTTCTTCATTCTCCTTTATTCCAGGTGGATGGGACGAATTGATGCATCTTAGATGGCCGCTTGCAAGCTTTTGACACCGCAGACACCACTCACCAAAGCAGGATGCAGAACATTTTCTTAATAAGTTTTGTTATGGCAGTTGATCTAGATGTCCCCTGAAAGCATGGTCCCTAGACCCCTACGCCTGCTATTCTGTCCCTCAAAGTGTTTGATTATATTCAGGAAACTTCTTAGCTTTGGTTTAGTCTAGTTGTGCTGACTTCCCCTATAGTGCGTGCTGTCCTTCCCTTCACCTAAGATAAAACTTGTCTACTGTCTAGTTGGTGAATAACCCTCCTCTCCCTCCCTACCCTTGTAACCATCAAAGAATGTTTTCTTCTGTGTTTAAACCTTTTCTTGAGTTCTAATAATAGTGGTTTTATACAATATTTGCCCTTCTGTGACTGACTGAATTCACTCAGCATCATGCCCTGCAGATTCCTCCATGTTATAGGTGTTTCACGGCTTCATCGTTGTTCTTTATTGTTGCATAGTATTCCGTTGTGTGGATATACCATAATTTGTTTATCCATTCGTTCGTTGATGGGCACCTAGGTTGTTCCCATCTTTTTGCTATTGTGAACAGTGCTGCAGTTAACATGGGTGTGCATATATCTATTCGTGTGACAGCTCTTATTTCTCTAGGATATATTCCAGGGAGCGGGATTGCTGGATCGTATGGTACTTCTATTTCTAGCTTTTTAAGGAAGTGCCAAATCGATTTCCAAAGTGGTTGTACCGTTTTATATTCCCACCA